CATTCTTACATAAGCATTACAGTCTCTTACACAGGCAGCTTTACAATTTATAAAACATTTGTACCTATCACTGCCACTGTTGTTTGTTTCCCACAACAGTCCTATTATGCGATTACTATCACTGCTGTGTGTGAGGGGTTTCAAGGCTCAGAGAGTTAAGTCAGCTTTTGATTTCCTTTCCTCATTCTTTTCCACTGCATTAACTTACTTCTATATAATTAAAAAAACATTGCCCCCACAATCAGAGCATTATGCAATAAAAGGAGGAAATGTACTATAGACCCTTGATATGCATCCTTCATAAATTACATAGCTCACAAGTTATTAGTTACTGGTTATTTTGACTCTAGTCATAGAAATATAGTTTGTATGAATAATTTTCATTAAGCTGGTACATTACCAAGGAATCCCCTAAATCCTACTTGTACTGGCCGGAAAACTAAACCCCAAATCAGTCAAAAGTGCATACTACCTCCTTGGGAAAACAAAGTACATATATGTTAGTCTTTCATGACTTAACAGTTGCTTCTAATAGATTACCATCTGCCCATAAAACCAACTACCTACAGCTATCTGTCCCACAGTAGATAGAGAGGGTGGTTACTTAAGTACACATTTTACAAAAATCTACCTAAGTTTAGCAAATATGTGTACACCTAAACACACAGAGATATGATTACCAATAACTTGAAAAATCATTTGTAAAATAGTTATCTTGGCTTTACAGTTATTTCATACTTCTTAATGTCCTTAACAAGCAAAATTGTTCTACTTCATGAATTCTACTTCTTTCTACATCTACCTTCTCCCTTCTTACTTGAAAATTTCCCACTCCACTTAGTGACTTGCTCTATCTTTACTTATTAACCGCCCCAATTTCTCATTAGTATGACTTCAGACATCATTCATTCAACAGCTTTACCGAGACATTTCTAATTGTGTATTTGATAATTTTCAATGAAGAAAGGCTCCTACTCTCCTCCAAGTCCACAGCACTAAGACTGCCTCTGAGTAGTTTCTTTGACTGTAGACAAGTTAAAATCACTCCCTCCAATGGGATTCCCTCAAAGGAAGATTTTAAGAGGGGCAAAAAAAAAAAAGGCAAGATGTTTAAAGCGCTTTATAAAATATCAAGGATTATGCTATTGCCATCATTATTTTCAGGATAGTGGGGGGTTTTTTGGCTATTCATTTTTAAAGCTATAGAGAAAGCACTCAACCATTCTTTCTATAGGAGGGGTGGTGAGTGAAGGAAAGAATGTTAGGGTTCGAAGCCATATGGCCAAGAAAGAATTCTTGAGACATCTTTGGTGCAAAAAGGTGATTTTATTAAATCACAGGGACAGGACCCATGGTTTATTAAAGCACAGGGTCAGGATCCATGGGCAGAAAGAGCTGCACTGGGGTCACGAGGAGTAGCGCATTACATACTTTCAAGTTGGGAAGGGTTAGAGAGAGCGTAAGTTTCTAAGGAATTTTGGAAGCAAGGTTTCCAGGACCTTGAGGGGGCGAGCTACTGTTAGGAAAAGATCATTTATTACTGTCTAATAACCGGAGTCATGAGACCCTTCAGATGTATATCGGTGGTCCATATGCTTGGGGGATGATTGCCAACAAGTATCTTGGGGGTTTAGAGATAAAGGAAATTTCTAAAAGAATTTTTACATGTTAAAGTAGACTTACAGGATCCTGAGGGTCAGGCTAAGACTGCCTTTTGCCCTTAGCAAAGTATTAACATTGAGGCAGTTGAGTCCCTAGAGGAATGTCACTCCGCCTGTTTCAAGGACTTGTCAACGAGCTGTAGGTAGTAAGGAAATTTAATTTCTCTTCTGTCTCTGTTTTCCACGTCAGGAACAGTAAAGGAGAGGAAGAAACTTACATGAGTAATGAATTCATTGGGGGATTAAGTTCAGTGACTCAACATTCACATCTATCGTCCTTAATAACACACCTGGATTTTAAAACACTAAAATGGTCATACAATCAGAATACCATTACACTTAAAAAAAAAAAAAAGGCTACTTCCCTGCAGCCACCCCAGAAAAAAAACCTCCCTCTGTAAAGCAGTAAATCACCATTACAAAAAAGTTTTAACTTCCAATCCCATTCCTTACATTTGTCTCTTAACCTTGAGAGCCTGCCAAGAGGCTCTGCTTACAATTGTGCGTCAAATAGGTCTTCCAATTGAGCATAAACAGATTTTTAAAATGCAACCACGAACTGAACGGACCACTTTATGTATTCAGAGAGGAGCCACCCATCACCACAAAGGAAATACCAGTGTAAAAATCAGCAATTCGGAGGTTGCAGTATTTAGTATAGCTCACGATCAACCTTGTGCAACCACTACCAACAGAGTGTGTTGTCATGCATCAAAAAAAACCAATACAATTTTATTCTCTAATGAGTATCAGTAAAAGAAGTGATGGAAACATCAAAAAAACCAATACAATTTTATTCTCTAATGAGTATCAATAAAAGAAGTGATGGAAACCACAAAAAAAAAAACGCATCTTGCTAAAGAGTCTCGAAATTGTAAAAATATGCCTTGAACTACAGCATGGAACGAGGTGACAGTCTTCCAGGTACTCTTTAACAACTGCTTAATATCAGACAGATGGAAAAAGGACAATTTTGGAAAAGGTCTAACAATTTCAAGAAAGTTACTTTCATCTGTGAATATTTAAAAACTTTACCCTAAAGTTAAAACACACTGGCAAACTAAAATCGAATCCCAAAATAGGTGCGCCCAACTTAAAGCCAGATTCTCATTTTAACTCACGGTTTATTTTCCCTGTAATAAATACCTCTTTGCTGTATGTAAGACAGCTCTTTCTTCCCCAAATAAAGAATTTCCAAGAGATTTAATCATCCTACAAAGCCATTAAAATACAAGAGTACGTAAGTGCTTTACAAAGATCCTACATTCCTAAAGAGCATAAGGATTTCTCTTAAGAGACACAAAGCACCTTCCTTAGACTAAACTACTAGAGTGGCACCTGACTCACCCCAACTCAATTCAAGTTTACTTATCCAGAAAGCAGAGGGAGACAGAGAGTTCCTTATACACTGTCAAAAATAGCCGAGTCCCTACTCACTCACAGCCTGTTGGCTCTGACTTTAAACACAAATCTTAAGAAGTTCTATTTGGATTTTAACGTCGTATTGAGTGACTACAGAGCAAATGAAAAGGTTTCAGGCAGTCATTTGATAGGTATGGTTATCAAGGGAAGGGATACCTCCAAGAGTGGGGGGGGGGGGACACACAAAAACCTGTGAGTAGCAGAATGTTCAATAAATGGCGAGCCCTACGTATCAACTCTTAAGAATCACATCTCAGTGTACCACAAAATAAAAACGATGTTCATAACCATGACTAAGTCATAAAGTTATGCTTCTAGGAAGGCAAGTACATAAATCACTTTGAAAATACATCTAAAACAGTTACCTTAAATATATATAAATAAATAAGTGCAAGAGCGAACACACAACATACACACCCGTAGGGTCCAAAAGATCTAAATCAATCCATCAGCATTCCAAAACTAATTACTTGAGAATTCCAACCAGAAGAAATCTAAGGCAAAACCTCTGGGGGGGGGAAGGGGGGGTATTTTTCTATGTAAACAGTTCTGTCAAGTGCTTTTGTTGGCAAGCAATAATAAAATAAGCTTTATTTCCTGTTCTTTCTCCCGTATCAAAACTCTAGTTTGTCATCACCTCTGACATATGTTCAGCACATCCAAAGGTTACTATGAATGATGCAATATATTTCACGTAAACTTTTCTACTGAAGTTAGTCTTCACGGATAACACCTTATCAAAATGTTTTACATTTCATCTTACAAAACCTTTATCAGACTGTGGAAAGAGAGGAATCTGAAGAACACAAGTTCACATTTAGTGTAGTTTATAAACTCTTATGTATGCCATGGCCGTACTTACCTAACCGTAAGCTTTTACTATTTATAATCCTTTGAAAAACTTTATGCCTTTAAGTACTATCAAAATTCTCAATCAGGATTTCATGCTTTCAATTCACACCAGAGCGAAAGATCAAATGCTGAACTCCTAAAAATAGGGGTGTTATGAGAGGGACACACAACACTCCGCTGCCAAAGCAAACGCGTCTTGGAGGGAGCAGGGGCGCTCCTTGTACACGTACAGTAGCAGCTCACATTCAGCAAAACCGGGGAGCGAAGGATCAGGTGACTTCACACCGCAGACACTTCAGTCTGACCGGGCCTTACTATGCCGTCTGAGTGACTAGTAAACTGCTCACAACCCTAGTTTAACAACTAAATCTGGACTTTCATCCTAGCCACGCGCAACCCGCGCCAATGGGTTCGGGGGCCGAGGAGCCCTAGAACGCGAGCCCCGGGGCACAGCCCTGGCCTGCGGACTGCGGTTCCCTCCTGGAAGGGTGTCTGGAGAGCTTTCCGACCTGGCAGCGAGGTGTCTGCTCCCCCCGCGCGCTCCGCGTCCTCCTCCTCCGTGGGGGCCCACAAAGCTCTGGCCACCCCTACCTCCCTTTCTGACAGAGGAACAGAGAGCAGAGTGCCCGCCAAGAGACAGATCGCCCTGCCGCGTCCGCAGCTCTCCTGCACCTAGCCGCGGCGTCACCGACCTCCCCGCGCCCCAGGTCTGCGACCCCAGCTCAAGGCCGCCCCCTCAGGTCGGGGCGGACGCGGCGGCAGCCACACGGAGGCAGCCACGCGGCGGGCGGGCAGGGGGCCGGGCCGGGCGCAGACGCGCTCGCCGCCCGTTCACCCGACAGCAGCGGGAGCCGCGGCCCCAGGGCCGCCCTTTCAGGCCGCGCGCCGCGGAAGCTCGGCACGCTGCGGGGGCTAGGCCCGGCGGCCGTCAGACGCGGCGGCAGGAGGAGAGCTGAACCAGCCGCGGACGACGACCCCGCCGCCTGCGGCCGGTGTCCGCGGGTCCGAGCGGCCCGCGCCCTCTCCGCACCCGGGCCTTGCGGCCTCCGCTCCCCCGGCGCGTACCTAGGAAGGTCGTGGACGAGACGTGGTTAACCCCGGTGCTTGGGTCGCTAGTCCGCCGCCGGCGCCGCAGCCCCTCGTGCGGCTGCAGCCTCCGCGCTGCCTCGTCCCCCTCCGCCATCTTGTACCGATTTAAAATTAACTCCCCACTGACGTCAAACGCCGCCGCCGCTTTATCAACCTCCCGGGAGCCGGCGGGGCGCCCATGGGTCCTAGCGCCGCCAGTAGCCAGCGCCTCCTTGTCCTCCCCACGCTCTCTCCCCCGTCCCGCCCATCGGCGCCCTCGCTCCGCCTCCGCTCTGCCAACCTCCTTGCCTGCCTGCCCGCCAGTCGCTAGGTTTTCCTGGCCTTCCACTTCTAGAAGGGATTGGGCGGCGCCCCCGCCGCGATCGCCTCGCACCGCACCGCTCTGAGCTCAGTACCACACCCCCTTAGCGCTGAGCCGGTCCGTGTAAACGCAGAAGGGATCTCCAGAGAACCAAGTCCCTCCTTCCCAGTTCAGTAACCCAGTTCTTTTTACTGCTCTTCTTCATAATCGTTAACTCGTGCCCTGCACTTGAGGTTGCTTTCACACGCCTTTCTCTTTTTTATCCCCCACCTTCTCCCCCACAGCTATTTTCCTCCTGCCAGTCTGCCCCCCTCCCAAGCTTTACCTTTTGATCTTTCCTCGTCCAAGTCCCTAATGTTGCTTCCCCTCCGGAGACCATCTTATGGTTTATTTGCAATAGTTCCCATCTGCTTATGAGACCCTCCACCTATCTTCCTGTCTGTGCATACCGTTTCCTGCTCCTAGTACCTGCAGGGACAAGCCAGAAAGCACTGTCATCAGAAAATGAATTGTAGCAGGTCCTTTACCAACTATGATGAACCTTCTTGTGAGAATCCAGTGATATCCTGTAGAAAGTTCAGGTCACTTTTTAAAATAAATACCAGCCTGTGGAAACTTCTGTGAAACACGATCTCTTTTCTTTTGGATTTTTTACCATATCACCAAATGCTATAAAGGACATTAAAAACTCCTTTTCTTGGTAGAGATAGGTGTCCAGGTGTCCAGATTGCTGTCTTGTCCAGGTCTTCTCACAAGTCTAAAAATCACGGCTTTTCATCCTGCATAATCTCTAGAAAAGCACTGGTGTCCTGGAAACTTGCACAGTGCCATTTTATCTGGGTTTTCATTGGGCTGTCGATTTATTCATCTGTTTTCTGTCTTTATGGAAAGGGATTTGGAGCTCCTCCTGGACTTCCTACTCCCTGCATCCTGGTTCAGTGCCCCTAAGCTCCCAGCCATGAGCCTGGCTTGATAATGGATTTTCTTTCATAATCTCCCTATGCGGCATCTATTTAATGTTGTCCACAATCTGCTTTATGCAAGGTATCATCTTGGGCATGAAAGAAGATGCAAAAATGAGTATTTTTGCAGTCAAAGAATAACCTTAGAGTTAGCAGTTAACTTAGTACTCAGTGCACCCTATCACGGACCCCCAGGGACCTAAGGCTACACCCCTCCTAGTCTATTAACCTAACTGCTTTCCTTTTCACTATTAGACACTAGGCTGCTGCTACAGTGCCCTGAGCAGGTCCACACAACTCCTGACTTTAAGGAGTGTAGAGAAGCCAAATGGAAGTATAGTCAAGAGATTGAGCATTGTCCCACAGTCGCCCCAAATCTGTGCATGTTGGAAAGTCCTTTCTTCATTTTCCCCAGTCGGCTACCCCTCTTCAGTTTCTAATCCCAGTGAAACCTCAGTGTCACTTCAGACTTCTCTCTCCTCTCTCCTCCCCTCTGCACCAAACAAGTCTGTGTGAAGTTGGTTCTGACTTCTAAATCTCTGTCCAGGTCACCTCCTCTCCATCCCCTCAGTCTCCCTCTTGATTCAGCACCATCATGTCCCACTACCCTGAGGTAATGTTGCTGTGGGCCCTTCTCCCGTGGGTCCTCCACCCAGCCACTGGCTTAAGTTTTCTTCAATGCAGATCGGTTAATGTGATTTCTCTGCTCAGGATAAAGTCCATACTCTTCAGAATAGTTGACAAGGCCTTTCATGATTTGGGTCCTACCTATGTATTGAGCTTCATTTTTCACTACTCTGTCACTCATTCCTCATTTTTTTTTTCATTTAACAAATGAATTTTGACACTGTCGTGTGTGCTGAACAACAAATAATGAACATGACAGACAAAACTGGTTTACTTAGCTGTTTGTTTTTTCTTTCTACAGCCCACACAGACCCCTCCAGCACAAGAAAGTGAGCTTCAAGGGCTCAAAGATCTATCTTACTCAGGGGTAACTGGCTGGCTCAGTGGTAGAGCATGTGACTCTTGACCTTGGGGTCTTGAGTTCAAGCCCCATGTGGAGTGTGGAGATTATTTTAAAAAAATTCTGGTTCTACCGCTGATTCACCTAATGTTTCTAAACGTCCAGGTCTCATTTTTAATAACTAACTATATATAACAAAATTCTTATGGGATCAAATCAGTATATTTCAGAGCCTTTTGATTGCTAAATAGCTAACATTTATGAAATGTACTTTACATATGTTAAGTCATTTAATCCTTAAAACAATCCTAAGAGGTAAATGCTGTTAATATTCTCATCTTACAGTTAGAACAACTAAAGCGCCAAGAGGTTTAAAACGTGCCTAAGTGGCAGGACTGGCATTCGAAGGCAGGCAGTCTGGTTCCAGAGTTTATATTTGGATCCACTGTGACGGTGTTCAGTTTATACACTGTGAATTCCTGGAGGGCAGAAGCCATAGATTATCCTTACAGCAGATACTTTGGGATTCTGCCTTCAGTTAGTGTAAATTGTATTAAAAACTATTTCTTCCAAATAAACAACTTTAAACATGTTTAAATCCTATTAATAAATGGGCAAAAGATGTCCACAGACAATTCGTAAAAAAATATGTTATAAAAATGGACCTTAAACATGTGAGAAAATACTCAGTTTCGCTCATAATAAAATAAACGCAAATTAAAATAACATTGAGGCACCATTTTTCATGCATCAGTTTGGCAAAAATTCAAAAGCTTATGATGACACTGGCTTATGATGGCAAGGACATGGGGGAAAACAGGCACTCACACGTTGCTTTCTCACTGAGAATGCAAAATGGTACAACCCCTACGGAAAGGAATTTGGCATTGTCCAACAAACTTCATCTGCGTTTACACTTTGACCTGCCTATCACACTTCTGGCATTAACTCTGAAGGTACAACTCCAGTAATACAAAAAAATACACTTGCACAAGGTAAATCACTGCAGCATTATTTGCGGTTGCAAAATATTAGAAACAAGATATCCAAGCATAGGTGATCAGTTAAATAAACTATGATAAATACTCATGATGGGGCAATTTGTATCTGTAAAGAGAGAAGAGAAAGATCTCTATGAACTGGTATGGAGTAATTCCCAAGAGATATTCTTAAGTGGAAAAACCAAACTGCAGAATAGTATATGTAGTATGCTACCTTTTGTGTAAGAGGGAGAAATAAGAAAACATGTGTATATCCACTTACTTGTCCAAAAAGAAACCCAGAAAGGTTAAACAGAGAACAACAGTTAGTTCCCTCTAAGAGGGGGTGGTGGAGGGAATAAGAAGGAATACAGAATGGAGTGACACTTTTCTGAGTATCCTGTTTTACATAATGTTGACTTTTGAAAACATGGTCTACATGATCAAAACATAAAATTAAATCAACAAGGACAGGAAGGGGTTCCTAAAACTGAAAGCAAACCAAATAAATGATTATAACAGTATCAAAATGAATAACAGAGCCCCACTGAAGAGGGAGAAAAAGAGCCAACTAATCCAAGTAATTTACAAACATAGAATTGGACTATAAATATTTCTCAGTCTTGGTTGGGATAGGGTGAAAACAGCAAACAAATCCTGAACATTTTCCAGTAGGCTTGTTTTCGTAGAGGTTTGGGCAAAGCAATTTTGAATCTATTTTAGATGTATTATAGATCAGTAAATGTATATATATTTATATGATATATATATAATACTGATATATATTATATATGATCAATCTATATAAATATATTTACATAATATATGCATATATTAGATATTATATATATACAAATATATAAATATATTTTAGATGAGTTATAGATGAGTAAATGTGTTGATATTGTTGAGAGGTAGGGTTCTTAATGGGGAAGAATGGACATATAAATAATGAAAGGGGAAAAACAAGGTGGATCCTATGGGATGCAATAATTGGAGTTATTGATATGGACTGAAGATTTCTAAAACATGCATACATATATGTGTGTTTGCAAGTGTAAATATGCATGCATATACATATGTACAATATATACATGTATATACATGCATATGTTTCCTTTTCCTATCCACGAAAAAGGCCTATAAGCAAAGACACCCAGGTAGCAACGATCATACCTAGTGCCCAATCTTGGCCTCTAATACCATTCCCTACTAAAAGGAAGCAGAAGTCCATGGAGAAACCACTGGTTTCAAAGCTGGAGCAGGGGGGGAGTACAAGATGAGCCATGAGCATCATTTTTGTGTCAGAAGAAGGGAAGTACTCAAAAAAAAAAAAAGGGACATGTCAAAAAGACACATAAGGGGTTCCCACTGGCCAAATTTGAAACAATTTGAGCACTAAAACAATTAAGGACAACAATGAATTATAGAAAATAAGAATCTATGAGTCTATAACCAATGATAGATTAGATAGGTAAATAGGTAGATGATGATAGATAGATGAACGGAGGACTCTTGTTAACAGTAGAATGCTGCGGGTCGACTGGTAAATGTGGAGACAGCGCTAGAGTTGAAGAGTCATCAATTTGCAATGCACCCATGACAGCAGAGAGTGGGTCAGACAAGAATCATCAATGAATGCTAAATCTAGGGGCAAAGATTTGATGACGAGTCAAATATTTGCATGTCTTAAAGTTTCTCTTCACATTTGCTTATTAATTGCAAGAGAAAAATAGAAACCAAAATTAGACAACACTTCGAGTAGGTGATTAAAATTAGCATCTCCAGGGGTGCTTGACTGGCTCAGTTGGTAGAGCATGTGGCTCTTGATCCTGGAGTCATTCAAGCCCCATATCGGGTATAGAGCTTACTTTAAAAAAAAAAAAAAATTAATATCACCAATGAGGAAGCAGATGGACATCATGTGCCTTTAGAGCTGA